TAGAAAGTGAGGAGGTTTAATAGCAAAAATTACACTCGAATTATTAGAACTGTGATTATTTAAGGTTTATACTATCAATTTAGATTATTTAAAAATCAAATTATTAGTTTTTGGATAAATATCATTTTTCATCCGTTATTTTATACTTGTTAAAACATTGATCATTATTTAAGCATTCTATTTTAATAGGAAAGATTACCCTCAAACTATTGAGGCTATGGCAATTTAAGAACTTTACCCTTAAAAAAAATTATAATTTGGTCCCTTATTTTTTAAAAAACTTTTGTTTCAATAACGAACTTCATTTATGTTGCAATATAGTCCCTAGATGCTTAGAGGAGAGAGAAACAAAGGAAGAGAAAGAAGACAAGAGATGTAGAGGGATGACGAGGCCCATTTTGGCAACCTCCCTCATCTAACTCACCACCAAGAATTTTTTTATTTTAATTTGAATTGTCATGCATTTTGTCATGTGTTTTGTGTGCTTTAAAATAAATTTTGAGATTTTAAACGATTTTTTAAATGTTATTTTGATGGTTTTGACGATGGATCGAAATGGAGCTGATTTTAGGTTTAAAGATACTAAAAAATCTAAGCTCAACTTTCTGAGCGAAATAAAGTTCACTGAAAAGGAGTCGTTTGTTTTTTTTCGTAAAGTCTGGAGCGCAGGCATGGTCATCGAAGCTCAAACATGTTGGCTTGCACTTGAAGTTTTTTAATTTATTTTATTTATATTAAAGTATTATTGTAAAAAAAAATTAAAATATATTTTAAAATCATTATGTAGCTTCATTTAATTTATTTTTAAATTTAAAAAATATTATCTATTAATTTTAGCACAATTTCATATATTAATGGTAACTTTATTATTTTTTTACACAATCTTATGAAAAATATATTTTTAAAGTATTTTTTGAATTAAAATTTCAATTTATTTTATTACAAATTTTATTTAAGAATCCGTACATAAATAAGAACAAATAATGTATTTTTAAGTAGAGAATTTATATAAAACATAAGAAAAAATTACTTAAATACAAGGTTTAAAAAAAATTAAAAATTTTAGTTTCTTTTTTAATATTTGATTCGATATATTTTAGTAGACCCTTAGTATAACATAATTATCAAATTAGAATGATTTTATTATCTAATATCCGCATCATTGCATGTATAACCGATTAGAAAACCAATATTTTTTTGTTAATCTTAGAAAAGAAAACTCCTACTGAATCTATTTCTTAAACACGCATCATGCATGCTAATAATAAACATTATATATATATATCAATGAAGCAAAATGATAATAATATAAATATTGCAAAAAAAAAAATTGTTTTATTTAATTTTTTACAAAAACAACGCCATTTTTTAATACATCAAAATAACATATATATCGGTAGCAATGTGCAAGTACCAAACCAATTCTAAAAAAAAAAAACTAAAAGAACTCGAGGTATTGACTATTCATTTAGTGTAAGTTGGCTTTTCGGTTATTTTTTGGAATTTTCGTGGACAATTAAATGGAAGTTACACAAATTTTTATACTTTGGTCCCTAATATTTTTAAAAATTTTGTTTCGATCTATATCTTTATTTGCTAATACATTTTGGTCTCGAGTGTAAAAAGGAGGGAGGAAAGAAGAGAGAGATGGGAGGAGAGAGAGAGCACCGACCAACCTTATTTAAGTCATTTTGACTCGCGAAACTCCATTAGATTTTTTTATTTTTGAGAGATAAGTTTATTCATAGTGGTTTTATGTCGTTAAATAATGAAAGGATGTAGATCGTAGCCAAAAAAGAAAAAAAATTTTGATTTGATTATGTATATATATATATTGTTTTAATGTGCATTAAAATGATTTTTGAGGCCTTAAAAGTGTTTAATGACTTTATTTTGATCATTTAGAGGTGTTTAGGAGAAAAAATAATGTCAGAATTGAGTTTTTTGAGATCCGAAAATGGACCTTCGATTTTTCGACTAAGCTTCGAGCGAGTTTAAGCTCGTTGGAAGTTGTAACTTTTTCTTTTTCTTGGGCTGGTTAGCTACACATGCCTAACCTTTTTTCTTTGGGCTGGCCAACGGCCCGAGCTCGGAGTGGAGGAGGTCGAAGTAGCTTGGCGCACGAGCCCGGCTACGTAGACCCACCATCGCTTAGCTAGGCTCGGTTGCACATGCCTACCCTCTTTTACTTTTTTTTTTCTAATAATTTATTTTTATATTTTTTTAATAATGAAATTAGGTGTAAAAATATAAAAAATAGATCATTATTGTTTTTAGTTATACATTTAGTTTGACATAATAGAATATATATGATATTTTTTAAATATTTTAGTTTGAATTTTATTTCTTCAATTGTTTGTTTCTTAGTAAAATTCTCATTCAATTAATTTTTCAATTTTTGATATAATTTTTTTTATAAATGAATTTTGAAATAAAATTTTGAAACATGATTTGTTATTTTTTAAAATATATTATTATAATTTATACGATTAATTATTTTTTACGATTTTTAAATAAAATTAGCATAGTTGCATATATAAATTTCAATGAGAGAGAGAACTGAAAATTTGTTTTAGATAGTTTGACTCAATTTTTTTAAAAAAATTAATAATTATTTAGAAAAAGAATTTGTAGATTTTATTTGCTTATATATATATAGTTTTGTTAGAAATTAATTATATATCCGCATAGATAATATCGATTATTTGTTATTTATTTTTTTATATTCTAAATTTTATATTTTTAAATAAAATAATTTAATTATTTTTTTGAAAGAGCCTCTCAATTATTAAAATATAAATTTTTATGTTAATATTATAAATTATTTTGATAATAAATATATATAAATCAAACAATTTCGCTCAACATATAGATTCGATTTATATTAATCGGTAGAAATAAAACTTATACTTATATCATATCATACGAATCATTAACCTTTCGTATATTAAAATTATCTGACTGTAACGTAATATAGATATATAACTAGTAATGACTAAAAACTCACTGAGGTCCGTATTGGTTCTTTAGTTGTCATCTAGAGAAGGAAAAAAAAAAAAAAACACAATACCATTCCAGGTCATCATGGTACAAAATATTTGATGGAATAAGACAAGAGACAACGATTTGATGGTACTACTAAAAAAAGTATATAACTTAAGAACAACGGAAACCTAACCACTATTTCGTTTGAGAAGGTGCGTAATAATTGTGGGAATTGAAAATTGAATAGAAAGTGACTTCCTACATTGTCGATCAGGACAGTTACGCTCCAGTGCTTACAAGTGTTCTTCAAGTAACACATTTTCCGCCAAATTAATCCCACGATCTTATGATTAAAAAAAAAAAAACCATTATTGTCTTAATTAGAATTTCTGATCAAAAAGTGGTCCTTATAAAATCTGGTAACTGCTACGACCCTCTGCCACAAAACCATGTCTCCCAACATGAGAATGAGACCAAATTGACCATGGCAGAATCTTTAATTAGAAAACTATGTTTTGAGATTGGAATTTCGTAATGCAACTACACCTAATCACTGATGGAGAATCTGTCCATTGATTAGATGATACATTTGTTGTTGCCTTCAGCAACTTAATTGCTTCGCATTATTTGTTTCAGGGAGTGGGTGCTAGTGCTACCCACAGGAACATATATAGCTGGCAAAAGGCCGGTTGTTATGTAGAAACATGCTAATAAAGTTGTAGCTGTATTCCTATGTATGGATAGATGGAATCGTGGTATTGTGAATCCTAGGTGATGACAAACACGTTTTTCCCAAATCAGATTCGTTATTAATGGCTAACTAATTTTTGGGAATGAGGATCAGATGCAGTTCAAGTTCTGCATATAAGTAATCGAATACAGGAGGCGAAAAACCAAAAGACAAGAAAATTCCAAGGAAGTAATTAAGAAGAGGAAGAGGAAATAAATAAATAAAGGAAAGTTATCCTTCATGTGAAGTCACTTCATCATCCATAAAACAAGGACAAAATTCCTGTAAGGAAAACTGTCATCAATCCTGAAAAATGAAATAAAACGAGGCCATTTAATCTTGTTGCCACTATATGCCTGCTGTAGATATTAAAATAAATAAAGGTTTGAATTTTAAGATTTCCCGAAGAAAAAAACATAATTATAGTTGAGTTATTATCCATTGATTTTTTAATTAAAATAATATATAAAAAATAAAATATAATTTTTTTTTTGTTTTTTTTACTATCTCATGAAAATAAAATTATAAATAAGTTTCGGAATAGAAAAGTAGAGTTGAATTAGCATAAGGGATAGAATATATATATATATGTTTCTTATTATAGGATTTTTAAAACTCAAATTCTTTAAATACAAGATTTGAAATCATAATTTTTTGAATGTGAAACAAGTGCTTTATCGTTGTATCAAAGTTCTACTGCTGTAATTGTCTGTTCTCTATTATTGTACAAAAATTCTACTGGTGTAATTGAATTGCACTTGAATGGTTGAAAACTTTTTAAATTGCTTTCTCTGTCGGATTTATGAAAACTAGACGAACAAGTCGCTCTTGTCATCGATCAATCAATTTGTTGCTAAAGTATTGATTAACAATAAAAACCAAAAAAAAAAAAAACCCCAGAAACGATATGAAAATCTTAAATTGCAATTAATTAGCAATCATCAAAGTAAAACAAGACAGGTGTCTCAAGTTCACGCGCTAAGAGGAGCGTAAAACCAATCAAAACTCCAAAGTCCACCTCACCTTCTTCTACCTTTCCTCTTCTGCTCTTCGAGTCAAAAAAAGGATACAGGACTAGTAGTATATTATAGTATTATTCTCTTTCATTCCGTTAAAGCAACAGCAACACACGCCGCGTTGCTTCCCTTTCTTTTCCCTTCTCCGAACTACAACCCCATATCTCACCGTCAACTCCTCTAGATCTGCTCCTCGCAAACTCCAGCCCCATTTCCTCACTCATTCAAGATCCAAAAATCTTTATCTTTTATTTTGGTTGTAAAAAAAAATGGATTTTGAGCAACGGCGGAAGATAAAGCAGCAGGGAAGAATATATAGACCAGCGTATGCCAAGTTGTTGCTATCAGTAAGGTCTCTAACTGTATGCTTGTCTTTCTTCATATTTCTTTTGTTCATTTCCTCAGATCGTTTACCTATACGTAAGGACGGGTCGTTTCGTCCGGTTCTGAGGACATCCACTCTATCACTCTTCCCTGTTTTTCTAACTGGTGGTGATGGTGATGATACTATTAAATCCCAGTATCGAACTTTTGTAGTTGAAGGCAGGGTGTTGCTGCCTGACCACATACTGCTAATCGTGTCCAATAAATCAATTCGCTCGACCGATAATTTAGATTGTGTTTACTATGACAATATGCTTGAACGAGTTATGTTAAAGCCTGTTATATCTGTTGATGAATATCATCATCAGTTTAAGTCCATTGTGAGGTGCCACCTTCCGCCTCTAAATTTTTCTGCTTCAGTTAATTTGCGAGGGGGAGGGCAGCTTGGCAATGCTGTGGTGGAAAGACGTGACTGGTTGTTGCGGCTTAATCAGAGTGTGGTTCCTTCCTGGGACAGGGTGGTTTATGAGGCAGTTTTGGATTGGAATGCTCACGCTTACACTAGTAATGTGGTTGTGTTTGCTAAAGGATTGAATCTTCGGCCACACAGAGAGGCCGATGCAACCCAATTCAGGTGCCACTTCAGTTTGACTAATTTTGATCAAGGATTGTTCGTATTCACTACAAAAGCAATTGCAGCTGCACAAGAAGCTGTTCGGTGTTTGTTGCCTCGTAGTATTCTACACAATCCAGATAAGGCTCGGGACATCCAAGTCACCGTTGGCCGTGTTGACGAAGGCGCAGATGATGCTCCTCTGCCTTCTGTCGCTAAAGTTCAAGTTATCAACTCCCATCAGGGCAAGAGTAGCACGGGGAAGCACGAGCTTTGTGCTTGCACCATGCTGTGGAACCAAGCCTCTTTCCTACGGGAGTGGATTATCCATCACGCGTGGCTTGGGATCGAGCGGTGGTTCATCTATGATAACTATAGCAATGATGAGCTTCAAGAGGTCATTGATGAGCTTAATTTGCACAACTACAATATCACTAAGCATGCTTGGCCGTGGGTTAAAACACAAGAGGCAGGCTTTTCACACTGTGCTTTGAGAGCAAAACATGAATGCAAGTGGGTCGGATTCTTTGATGTTGATGAGTTTTTCTACTTCCCGCATGATCGGGGACAAAATATGCCTGGACCAAATTCACTACGAGCCCTGGTTATGAAATACACAGATTCACCAACAATTGCAGAGATAAGAACAGTTTGCCACAGCTACGGGCCGTCTGGATTGACGTCGCCTCCATCGCAGGGTGTAACTGTAGGTTATACTTGTCGGCTTGAGGCTCCGGAGAGACACAAATCTCTTGTGCGCCCAGAGCTCCTTCATACAACTCTTCTTAATGCGGTGCATCATTTTAGACTACGGGATGGATACAAATACCTGAATTTGCCAGAAAGCAAGGCTGTAGTGAACCACTACAAATACCAAGTGTGGGATTCCTTTAAAACCAAGTTCTTTAGAAGAGTTTCGACCTATGTCACTAACTGGCAAGAGGACCAAAATCAGGGATCAAAGGACAGAGCACCAGGGCTAGGGACTGTGGCCATTGAACCTCCCAATTGGCGGCTTCGGTTCTGCGAGGTTTGGGACACTGGCCTGAAGGATTTCGTTATGGCCAATTTTGCAGATTCTGCGTCTGGGCTCCTTCCCTGGGAGAGGTCCCTCGTGTGACAAATTCGCATTTGGATTTGCATGTTACAGCTAGGTGCCCGTGTATAACGACAGAGTAATTACACAAACAGCATTCTTTAATTGTTCTATTTTGCAATTTTTTTTATTGTCATAGACATGCAACTTACACAGTTGTAAAGTTGGAAAAGTATTCAATTGATTCTTTTCTTATTTTTTTTGCTTCCTTTTTCGATAACAATAGTATAACAAAATTGATGATCAGGAGTTGCAGTGTTGCCTGGGATTGTATTTGAAATTGCTTACTGATATCTTTGTTTGCAGTTTTAATCAGAACTGCAATGTGGGTAACATACAAATGGAAAAGGACAAAATGAATAAATAAAGAATGATACCTTGAAATTGGTTTATAATACTTTCTATTTTTTCTAGAATTCTTTTTATTTTTTATTTTTATTTTTTAAATTGAGGATGCTGTAGATGTTATTAATTCCTTACTCGAACCAAATTAAAAGGCATCCCCTGGCTGCAAACGCAGTTGACAGTTCAAGAACAGCATGTTTTCCCAATTGATTTCAAGAAAATGCTCAGATGGCAGGCTGAAACTGTGACCAAGGCCTCGCCAGTTTGCCTTACCAGGAATGTTCTTACAACAACATATAGTTCCTCCACTTGTTACACCTACAAAAAAAATGCAGTAAAAGAACAAACAGCTAATGTGCTGACACTTGCTAACATTGCTTGAAATACAAATTCAGCACTAGCATTTATCTTCCCTGTATATTAATGAAATTTGACAAATTTTGGCGCTTCCTGCCTGTGCTATTACAACTCAAAATTGAGGTGTGTAACATTCCTAGAAAAATTCACATTTGGCATGAATTGGGTTTAGCATGGTATGCTTGCTTGTTCTCACTACAATTTCGTTTTGTCACGCTATGATTTGGTTTGATGACATTTTTGTCTCCTCCTGGTTCACAAAAGCGTGCAAGATATCAGAGAATTTGTAAATGGATTCACAAATTTAAAAAATGTATTGAGGAATAAAATAGAAGAAACTGTAGGTTTCAACATCCATCTTTAGGCTCCACTTGGTGTGATTTTGTGTGTGATTTTGATGCTTTGTGCTTAGTAAAACATGTTCTTAAGTTATCATCAATTCCCCGTTAGCAACACCAACACGTATTCTCTCCTTCTGCATTCTCTTGTATGATAAACAATACATAAATGCCCCTTAACTTAGGGACTAACAACTTCACAATATGCTTTTACCATATTTTGCTAAGAAACATGATACATATTACACATAATCATAAGAACAACTTCTAAAAAAGAAAAGAGAGAGAGAGAGAGAAGAAAATATGATCCATATAATTATCTGACAGAATTGTTTGGCATAGGGACAAAAATGCTACCTATACATAACAAAATCCAACAAACCACAAGCCAAGGGGAAGAGAAGATAGGCTCCAGGTCATCAAAATTTAGTCTCTGAGTTCACTAAAGCCAATGATATGGAACCAGAAGTTCCACACAAAAAAAAAAAAAAAAAAAAAAAAAAAAAAACAAAGGGGACAAAACACATAAAGCTTACTTTCTCAAAGCAGTAACAGAAACAGTTTGATAAATGCAGTTCAAACCAAAATAAAAATTACCTTAAATAATGGATGCAACAGATGGCACACGAGAATCCAGACTACAATGTAGTTATTTTCAGGCTCTATCTTGCACTGCCAATCATTTATTCATAACATATTTTGCTAGAGTAGCATCCAGTTTTTCTCCAATAAGAGTAATCCATGCCTGAGGGTGAAAGAAAATTGGAAATCTGAAATCTAGTGAAAGATGATTACACATAAAAGTAATGTCTAACACTAAGTTGGATCCTTTCGTAATCCATGGGGATATGAAAAACACTGATATCAGCTGAAGGAAATAGAAAGTATGACCAAATGGTGCTTGAATATTGTGACATACAATGACATGTGTGATGTTATAACTAAAAGAAGAAATAATGGACCTGGTCAGAAGATGTGAACCCTCTAATTGTGTCACCACCAATTATCGCAATTCCTTTGTCTCCAAGCGGCTGCAAGATCACTGCCTGACGAATTTTTATAATGATTCAGTAATTCTTTGGTGTGGAAAAGTAGGTAAATCAATGAAAAACGTGTTATAAGGTTCAGAATTGCAATCCGAAGCAGAACAATTTTCTCCACAACATAAATATGAATGGAATGTTAGTTTACATTTCTTGTGGATGTACACATCAAGGACAGTTTTGACTTCCTGCAAGGATTTGATATGTTCATTTCTATTTAATCACATTATCTGATTTCATACAGGAAGCGGGGAGTACAAATGATGGTTCAAGTATTTCTGAGACAACTCCATCTTTGAAACCATGCAATTGATCCTCTGTCCAACAAAGCAACCATGCATTCAATGATGAGGGAAAAAATTAGTTATGCATGAATCAAATTAATATTATGGTTCGCCATTACTCTTGAAACGTACTAGCTCAATTCAACGCAACTAAGCCTCAAACAAAAATAATTGATGTTAGTTACCTCAATCTGCCTCCCCCTCCTCTATTCAATACTGTCATGGACTCAACATTTTATAATCTGTTATGATTGAAGATCATCTTTTTACTTCCGTACATGTCATTTTTTATCTACCTCTCCAAATTCTCTATAAACATTTCAAGTTGATCACTCTTTCTCACCATAGGTCAACATCAGATATAGCCAAACCATCTCAAATGACCCTCGATTCACTTTTTCTTCAGATAGGCCACCTCTAACAGCTTCCTACAAACGTACTTATTTTCTTGCCCAGTACAATTCTGAGACACCCCGTGTAAAACAAGTCTTAAATTAAGAAATATTTAGCAACCATAATTCAGAAGACAGAGAAAGGACCGTTTACAGTATAATGCAACAATCCAGTGCAGCTACCATAAGTGAAAAGCCAACAAATTAATAATCAGGAAATAGTGATGATTTGCTCTTTTAATATGAAGTGTGTTACTACATCTCAACAAGAGAAAAACAAAGTTCAATAATACTTGTAAGGAAAAATTGAGCTAGATCACCTGTGTGTTTGAAGGTAAAAATGGCAGCTCAGATCTTCCAGGGTAGAGAGAAAGGTTGGCCAAATAGCTCTCTGCATATAGGATCAGTAAAGAATCATCTTTTGGAACTGTTTTCTCAGCAAGCAACTCTATTTTTTATCATGACATGGCAAAGGATTCAAAACAATGAAAAAAGATAACAAATCATGGCAAGTACTTACGAGAAGCAGATTTTATAGCAGCCTGGTAAAGTGATCCTTGCATCAACTTGGCAGCATCAATAGTCAGTGCTTCATTATTGACAGATTCAGCTGCCACACCAATTTGTAGGATACAACGGCAATCATAAACAACAACTAGAGACCTACAGCAAGTAACACCTGACAGAGACTCCCATGCCCTGAAGTTGAGCAACATAAGCAATTATTTATAGTCAATAATACATTATTACCTATTTCCTGTTCCTCGTAAATACGGAAATGATTAACAAAGATTTGAAAAGCAAGCACCTAAATTAATCCACCTAAGAATCTTTTCAACTACAGTAGTGATGTAAGAAGAAAAGGCAGAGTACCATAATAGCTCTGAAACTACAAAATCCGCAAGATGGGAGCATATAATCCGGCATTCCACGCCTTGAGGATTTACCTAAACAAACAAATGAAAATAAATCACATTCTCCATTCTGCATTCCAATTATTAGGACCAAGAAACGAAAAATTAACCATCGAAATTCGAAAGCACACGCGTCGCCATTACCACAGAGATGGATTTAGGGCGAATTGTCAGCCATACTAGACCAGTTAATATATTAGTTACAGCCAATCCAAGTGTTAACAAATCAGCCCTGGACTGTGAACTGCCAAGACAATGAACCACTAAGCATTTCCTTAATAATCAACAAAAACATTATGATTCGCTAATCAAACATTTCAAGTCATTTTACCTGCTGGCATCGGCAACGGGGGCTATGCCCGAAACGGCGCGATTGACGAGCACGGCCAAAAGAGAAGCACCTCCGACAAATATGGGCAAGCTTCGAAAGGTGTCGTCATTGTTCGATATCCAATCAGCAGCCCAGTCTCTCTTCGGCTTAATTTTGGTTTTCTTTTTTTTTTAATTATTATTACATTAAACAGAAGGGGGAAAAAAAAGAATATATGAGTGAGAGACGAAAACAATTTCAATGCAAATAAATAAAAGAGAGAGAGAGAGAGAGGTTTAGGCACCAGTGAATTGGAAGAAGAGGAGGCAAAGAAGCAACGGAAGTTGGAGAGCGGACGAGGGAGAGGGAGTAGGGGTGTGGGTTTCCATGGAACGAAAGCATTTCCCAGGATATTTCCCGCTTCCATTGTGGTAGCTAGCTACTCATTAAAACTTCCTTTTTTTCCTTCGGGTGGTTAATAAAAATATAAAACTGCTTTTTCCAGTTTTCCTCTTCCTTTTCTTTTTCTTTTTAATTTGCTATCTTATATGAGTGTTAATTTTTCTTTTTCTTCTATTTCTTTTCTTTTGTTGAGTTTTGAATTTAGAACGGCTAGGGTTTGAATTTTTTTTTTTTTTGTTATAATAAAAAAAAATCAACGGTAAATTATTCCTTATACCTCGGGTTTTCAAAACTTGGTTTTATTTTTTTATTATTTTTGCTTTAACTATCTAATCATATGATTTATGTGTTTTTTGATAAAACTAAAAATTAAGTATTAAATTCTAAGTGCTAAATAATTAAGTACTCGAATATATTATCGATAAGCTATTTGACATTTACTGAAAATTAAGTACTCGAATATAATAAGATTGTTTGATAAGTACTATTAGTAAACATATTAAGGTTATATACATGACAATTTTAATCTTACAATTGTAACATGATATTTTTTAACACAAATAAAAATATATACATAGATATGTTTGTGTGTATAAATAAATAAATAAAAATTCATCTTGCTTAAATGCGAGCATATCTTGTGACACAAACAAGATGCATTCTTGGTGGGGAAATAATCAAGCCAAAGGTTGTAGCGTTGTTTCCTTTGACATAAGCATTAAGGTGTTTTTTGATACGCTTGTCCCTTATGCTTTTTTGAAATCTTTTTTTAATTTCTTTCGGCCTTTGGTGTGGATCTACTCACGTTATGTGATTCCACTCGCTATGGTTGTCTATGATAAAAAGAGATGATTACCAAAGTATTTTGACGACTTCAAATCGTGTTAAGGAATCATGGACTAAGTTAATTGTTTTTTTTTTTTTTGGTGAGACAACATTACGTCTAGCGAGTTAAAAGAACACAAAATTCTTGAAATATCTTGTGTTCCGTATTACAAACATATCATAGTTAAATTTAACCAACATGTTTCGGACTCGACCATTATACTCTTGAAAGTGACTTCCTTACTCAACAATGGCCATAGCAAACTCTAGCATTGGTTAGTTCACCAAGCCGAAAACACATACAAGTATCAAAACTCTAGTCTCTAGCATGTCAATTCACTAAGCCATATTAGAATCCCAAATTATAGGCTTTCGTCCCGCATAACCCTTTCTTAACACCCCCTTTTATTGTAATTCAAAGCTTAATAAAAAAATTTTCATTTGATTATGCCGAGTCGGTTGGCTCGAACTTTGGATTTGATTTTAATGACTCTCTTTAGAATATTAGTTGTTAAGGCCTACATATTCACAAAGAAATAGCTCCTCGAGAAGTCCCTTCGTTTCCTTGATTTATATATATGCAATCCACACCTACTAAAGAGCTCCTCGAAGTATGTATCAAACTTAGTGATGCCTCGATCTTCTTTGTCCAACACAAATCCACTTCTGCAAGACTTTCCTTCGGGATAAAAAATCCACTAGGTTTCAAGCTAATCTTATCCCTTTTGAAAAATGGCACAAAGTCATTATCCGTGAGATGCCCAATACACCATTGAACCCAGATAACATCATATCTTCCTACATCTAGTGTGAATTCTCGAAATGGGACATAATAAAAATTAGTGGCCTTATGCTTATCCGATGCCATATGATTTCCCTAGACCAAGCTTTCACGGCAAGCATCAAGGAAATGTGACACTCGGTTTAAGAAGATCAACCTCATTGAAATACCTTATAAAAAAGGTTCTTGGTGATTCTCCCAATACCAAAACCATGATCAAAAGCAACAAGATGCCTATCAATTCCACCTTCAACAAACACTTCGACTAAAATGGTCCGTAAAAACCCTTCACTTCCCTTCACATTTGCATCATTCTCATGCCCATACCCACTTAACGCTCCATCTATCGAAGCCTCTACACCTTTCCAATATGAAACAACATCACGGTACCATTAAGTCTTCTTGTTATTATCTCTAGTGTGTTCTATCCATATCTCATATGGGTTCTTAAATACACGAACATCAAAATCTGTGCCAACAACTTCCATTGAAAACTCGTATGGTTGCTATCGTGCAAGGTGCTATGGACTCTAATGGGATTGTAGAGAATTGGAATTTGAAGGGAAAAATGAACTCAATTAATATCCATTGGACTACTTACAAGAATTAAACAAGTATTTAAGATTCAAGAAGAACGGTGGGTTGTTTATGGAAATGAGTGAGGGGTAGCTAGCCTTATACGATCTTGTTACTCAAGAATTGAAAAAGCTTCAAGTTGATGGGGAGGCCGGATCCTTAGCAATTGCACTCGTGCAAGGAGACACAATTTTCAATTAATCATGAGAAGAAACAAAGGCGAGATCAAGTTAATAATTAGTTCTAGTAGTCTCCTCTGTTTCGATAATGGGATAATAGAGATGTTTCTCAATTGATTTGTATAACTAGAGTTATAAAAATATATAAAAGCTATACGATTATATTTAAAAAGTTTTAAAAATTTTTCAACGAGCATGTTAATAAAAAAAAATTAAGTTAAAAATTTTAACTACCTAATTAAGTGGATTTTGACTGAATTTAAATTTTAAATATGAGATTATGTAGATTATCAAATAAACTTTATATATTAAGTACTACAACTTAATATTTCAAGCTACTTAAATAGATTGACTTTTGTTGATTGTTGTCTTGTTAAAATAAATATTGCTTTTTTCTTAAAATGCATCATTTAACAATTTAAACTCACACGATTAAGAGAAATCAAACCAATTTTCCGGATTATAAATTAGAATTCCAAGATGTAAAAACAAATTTTGAAGCTTGATCAGCATCGAAGATAATTAAGAAAAAATCACCAAAAATAAAAATAAATTAGTTTTAAAAAATTCTCAGTCATTAATAAACCTAACCTTTAGATGTTATTTGCACATAACTGTAAAATTAAGAAGTTTTTGGTAATTATACAACAATTTTAGTGCAAAAAACCTGAGCGAGCTCGATTTTGGATGTTGCCTGGACAATCTTGTAATTTTCTTCTTACATAAAGAAAACATGCATATGAAATTTTGACGGGAAAAACAATTTAACAACCCGCTTATCATAAAATTTTCATTGAATTGCTTCTTGGTAATCAAAATAGAAACAGGTTCAAAATCATACATTTTTTTTTTGAAAAAAAAAGTGTAAAAGATTTTTAAGGAAGATTATACGTGTGAGATAAATGTTGAAGAAAAATGTTTATAAAAAATTTTATGGGATTCAAAATGTAATTATCAATACTTATTTCATAGAAAAAATATAGACATAAAAAAAATTAAAAAATAAATTGAAGTTAAATGAAAATATCCTTATTATTTTTTATAAGTCCGGATGTGATTTTTTTTTGTTTTTAATTTAAGATAGTGTGAAAATATTTTTATTATTTTTAATGAATTAAATATAATTATCTATCTAGTATGAGTCTTTCTTCTTAAAATGAAATTATAGAATAAATATTATTAGCTACTTTTTAATTATTTTAAGAAAATTCATACTCGTAAGAGATTGGTGACAGTTTTTGTTTTTGGCTTTCAAATGGAAACATGGAACCAATAAAATCAACCTTAATTTACGGAATACAAGTAAATTAAGATTAAAATCCTTAGAACCTAAATCAAGGAGAAATCTCCTTTTAGTCTCAAACCTATATATTCATTTGACATTTGACTTCTAAATCTATAAATTTAATCAATTAGGTACTTGATATTTTTAACATTTTTTGTCAAATTTGCTTCACATTAATGTCACTTTAGTGCATAAATATGCACATTAGGGGAAAAAATATCAATGTTCATTAACTTTTGTTGTCAAATTTTCTTTAAATTGATATCGTTTTAATTCATAAAATATGCATATTAGACATAAATTATTAAAATAAATTAAGAAAAAAAACATGGTTGAGAGATATAGAAAGCTTTTGAGTCTTAATTAGCATGAGATGCAATTGGGAATAAATATATAGATTTGAAACTCAATTGAGCTTTCCTTCGAATAATTATGAGATATAACGACAAGATAATGAAGAATGAAAACAAACGTTGAAGTTTAGTGCACGAGGTAATTAACAAAATCACAAAAATCTATAATAAATTTGCTTTATAAAGTCTCATTTATTAAAAAACATTAACCTAATCAGTTTGAATGTTACTAACATTGAATAGCAAACGAGAAATGAAAAAAAAATACTAAAAAAAAGCTCGTAAAAAAAAATAATTTTGGTGATATCCAAAAGAGATGATGAAGCTTAACACTAGTTTAATATATGTGTGTGTGAGAGAGAGAGTTTTGGATGTTACTTGCATAGAATAACGAATAAGAAGAAAGAAAGTGTTACTAAAAATTGTAAAAAAATGATTTTAGTGATATTCGAAAAAGATGTTGAAGCTTAACAATAGTTATGTGTGCGTGTGTGTGAGCGCACACACGCGTGTGTCTATGTGAGAGATTTTGATTTTAGATCTCAACTCGAACAACCACATAATTTTCTCTAACTAAAAAATGGATATAGATGTTAAATTTTCTAGGGAAAAAATGTTCCCTTTTACACTGTTTTAGATTGAACTAGCTTTTTTTTAAAAAAAAAACAAGGGTGGAACCTTGACAAATTTTATTAATTTAAAAGAAAGCATACAAGGGCGGACGAGTCCGACCTTCCCCAAACAAACTAGGGTGACAAGAAAGCCTAAACTCTTAAAAAACAAACTTATGTTACAAGTAAAAAAAAAACTATCTTAACTTTTATAATTATAGAAACCAAATTTATCATGTTTAAGAGATTATTTAACCTTTAAAAGTAAACTAGAAAAAGAAAAATAAACATTTTTACCTTGAAAGGAATGTGCATGATAAGCTAATCTATCCGCAATTATAGTTTGCTCTCTATAAACATGAGAGAGGGATGTCTTAAAAGTAAAGAGGAACAACGCCTCACATGATAAGTATAAAGCCAAGGCAAGGAGGAGAGCAACAATCATCTATAAAAGATCCATCCGTATCAAACTTGCAATGATCATCTAAGGGTGGCGACCAGTGAAGCCATGTGCCTCTTTCAAAAGGCAACGATAGGATCGATAAACCTAAAGCTTGAAGTTTCGCATTGAAAAAACACTAGACAAATATTTAGGATTAAAAATCATACACATATCGAAATATGATACGTACTCGATCGAAAATGGCATCAACGGACATGGGAACCTCGTCGAATCTTACCTTGTACCTATATTTCCATATTTTAAAAAAAGAGAAAAAAAAAGGCAGACTACTCGACCCATACCCACTTATGTCGAAGGGGAGGCCATACGGGCATATAGAAGGTTAGAAGAAGATGCATACATACTCCTTATACCAAAATAAGACTCTAATATAGCCTAAGTCGCAAAATTAACTTTTGAATAGAAAAGGAGATGATCAATCGATCCCCCTCTAAATAACACATAATAGCTACAAATGGAGACCATAGGAATGGTCAAATCCTTAATCCTAGAATCAACTAGAAGTGCCCTATAAAACCACTTCTAGATAAAACCCCTACTTTAAGAAAAATGCATGAATACTAAACTAATCTAGCCTACCGAACCCGTGGATGTTATTGTCTATTATAATTCTAATAGGATTTGGATTCAAAATAACATGTCTCGGATAAAGTGAAAACCATCTTATCCTCTAAACCCTCTTTCAATTGAATAACCTTTACGGAATCATGATATTGAAAGGAAAGAAATCGTTTAAACATGTAAAAGCCTTCTTTATTGACGGATTATAGTCTAAGGGTAAAAGAGGATTCAAAATAGTTCCACACCAATTAGACCTCTAAAATGGAATTGAACCTTACCCATAATCCAAGAAGTACAACCTTCCGAGATAGTGAAGTGGTCAAAAATAGCCTTCTAAATATAAGAGGAATAAGAACAATACTGGGGAGAAGAGTCTTATTTGGCTTTCGTGATCTTAGCCTATAAACTATGACCCTAAAGATACGACCAAGCTAATTTAATCTTTAAAGCATCCATAACATGGGACAAGCTATGAATACCAAAACCACCCTTTGACAAAGGTCGACGTACCCTATCCTAAGAAACCTAATATGCTTCAACTCTCTTGAAGCTCTATAAAAATTTGCCATAATCCGTTCAATCTTTCGAGAATCATTTTCGACAAAAGGATAGCATAAATAGAATAGATAGAAATACTACTTAGCATTGCATTCAAAATTATAATTTGAACTCTAAAAGATAGGTATTTTGATTTCCTCCCTCCTATCCTACTTGTTATAGATTTCTCTATATACTCGGAAATAGCTACATTTTATCCAACCATGAAATAGAGGCACACCAAGATATCTCATGGGAAAACATTGATGATTACACCTATTCCATACCTTGAGTAAAGCAATACGATGATTGGGCATTTTCAATGAGATATAGAACCCATTTTTGGATAAATTTGGTAACTAACTCGAAAAATTCTTCATACTTTGTAATCAATTTTTTAACACAAAGAATTGATCGCTTAGAGCCATTAGTGAATTTCAACATATCATTTACATAAAATAAATGTGTAACGGTTATATCACCACTTCCTTTTAACATGTAACGAATGATCTATCCTTCCCCGATATCATTATCTAAGCAATACGAGAGAACTTGCTGAACCAAAATAAACGAGTAGAGGAGATAAAAGGTTCCCTTGTCCGACTTCCCTACTAGACTTAAAAAAGCCATTGTTCCTCTTCGAAAACATTACTAATACGGCGATATAATAGGTCCCACCACTAGTCACAAAAACCCATTTCCCTCGTAGTTCTCAATAGAAAAGATCATTTAACTCTACCATAGGCTTTAGACATATCTAAATCGAAGATAAAGTTGCTACCACACATATTTTTTATTTAAATCGCTACTCGATTCTTGAGCAATTGTAATATTTTCGGTTATGCTCCTAACCTTAACAAAACTAGCTTACTTTAAAAAAATAATATTAGAAAGAACCTTACCTAGTCGATTAGCTAGGATTT